AGGCAAGCAAAGCTTCCGTAGCTACTCCATTGTTAACGTTTAGAACCTATCTGTCCCCTTGATTCTCTCACTACCCCCACCAGAGGGCAAGCCTCTGGGCATCTGTGAGACGGAAAGACCTGCAAAGAGCTGGAAAGGGCTGGAGGTGGCCCTGGGTAACTCTTGGGGCAAGTCCAGTTGTGCAGCTGTAATAGGGGATGTTGAGGGGCCAGTGATGGAGTGGCTGCATTGTCTGTGAAGGCAGACAATGGAGCATATAGACCTGATCTAAGATTTACTGGGTGCGTTACTTCATTTTCTCATCTGTAAAATGGGGTTAAGAAACTTACCTCCAAAGCCTGTTGCGAGGATTAAATGGGCTGATAACGAATAAAACACTCAGCATGTTGCCTGGTACACAGTATGGACTCAGGATATGTGAGCTGTTGCTGCGGTGGCTACTCTGCCACCAGGTAACCTTCGCAGCCGTCTCATCTGGCTCCAGCAAAGAGAACAGGCCCTTCAGCTTACTTCCCTCTGTTCCCGTCATCCTGAAAGCTGCTACCAGACGGGATTTCCAGGAGCTCTGCCTTTATCATGGATTCAGGCTCTGCTCTTCCTTGCTATATGACAGTGTCACTTTTCGTCTGTGACTCTCAGTTTCCTTATCTACAATTGGGGCCTGAACTAGGACAATCACTGTTCGTTCAAAAGCCTCATGGCTGTCTGCCACTCACGGAGTTCGTGCCAGGTGAGGGATGTGCACCTTAAGGCCCACTGTGGCCTGGAGGCCGGACCCTGCCAGCACACTCCCAAGCCTCCAACCAAACCAGATTGCCAGCTGCCGCCAAAACAGCCTGGTTGCCCTAGCGCTGCACTTTTGTTGTTGCTGTTCCTGCCACCTGGGCCATCTCCGTGTCTTGTCATTGCCTATGACAGTCCTGTCTCTCAGTGAAGAATCAGTCAACACCCCCAGCCAGAAATGCTCACTTTTCTTAACTGCCCCCTTGTAGAATTTTCTGTTGTTCTCTGTGGTACCTACCAACTCACACTTTGATTTGTTAGTTGGATACATGTTGCAGACTTCTTTCTCTCCCTGGATTGAATACTCCTTGAAGGCAGGGACAAAGTCTCTTTGATAGTCACAGCTTACATCTCTCTGTAGCTTCCATTAAGCACAATGCTTTGTATACAGAAAATGCTCAACTGAAGGAAGGAGGAGATAGAAGGGAGGAAAAACCTCCCATTCTCTTTGCAACGATGTTGGGCCCAGCTTATACCTTCAAGCCATCTGCCCCCCAGGCAGCAGAGATGGAAGAAGGTCAACTCTTTGTCATCCTTCCATCCTCTCTCTCTCTCTCTCCAAAAGCCATTGTTGCATTTCAAGGTAGCACATGGCAGACAGGTGCACAGGTAAGCACAGACCCAAACAGATGCAGGAATGAGCATCCATAGGGTCTCCAGAGAACAGCATCAGGAACCCAGTATGTTAAAAATGACTGAAAAATGGTGTGGGAGCCACAGACGTGCTGAGCTGTGGGCTGGGAGGTGGAGGAGGTGGTGACTCAGGAATGCTCTAGTACAGGCGGCTGTAGGGGAAGCTGGGAGAAGTACAGCAGGGCACCAGGCTTCCTAGCTCTGCAAACTTGGTGGGCAGGGGTAAGGTGCCAGGGACTGCCCCCTGTGCCCAGTCCAGCTTAGAACTCAGGGCCTGTCCCTGGTGGGCCATCCAGGTCTTTAGGGCCAGCCCCTACCACCAGTGAGCTGCCCCCCACAAAGATGGTGATGGGTGTCAGCGTTTCATGTAAATGTCCCTCCTCTCTGACTCCCCTTATCTCTCTCCCTCCAGCTGCAGTAGAGTCACCTGGGCAGCAGGATAGTTTGGGCCAGGGGGCCCTGACCTCTCAGGGGTGTGGCCACACTCTGCTTGCTTCTTCCTGTCCAGGTAGTGGGGTTCCCAGGAGTAGCCTGCACACGGCCAGAGCCAAGGAAACAGATCTCCCTCAGGCTGCCCCTCCTCAGCCTGCGTCTCATTCATCAGGCTCACACGGGCGGCCCCATCTGTCTTTATGTTTCCCTGGGTCGAGAGAGAATTGCTGGACTTGGCTCGGGGGAGGCTGGGGTGTGGAGGCCCCCAGCACTTAGTGGCTCCTGGAGGCCTGGGCTTTGTCCATGGGAGTTGGAAGGGAATGGACTTTTTGTCTGGCCCTCTATAGTGACAGGCAGGCCCTTGCTCCCGTCTTGGCCCAGGGCTCTGAGCAGCAGCCCTGTTCCCACACAAGCTGTGCAACAGCCAAGGCTCTGCACCCCCCCTCTCACCCCCCACAGTGAGAGGCCGAGAAGCATTCTTAACATTCTTTCCAGAGAAAAGGGGTGAAATGTCTGAATTTGGGGGGTCACCACGTTATACAAATTGCAATCTAATCGTTTTTACAAGAACACACTTGCAGTAAGAAAAGGAGCTCAGGAGGAGGGGATGAGGAGACAGACAGCTTGTTTTGTCCCCCTTTCCCCCAAAGTTTGGGGCTATTGTCGGGCCAATCTCTCTACCAGAGCAGTTGAGCTAGAGTTTTCTAGTTAAATAGGTCTTGGGGTGGGGGCCGAGAAGGGCCCACGGTGCCATTTCTGTTTGTTTTCCCAAATCAAAGCCCCAGCAGGGCTCCTGTGGCACTGCTGGGTTGCTATTTGAAGAGATGGGCCTTTTCCCAGAGGCTGGTGTGTCAGTTTATGCTCTGAACTTAACCTCACAGGCACCACACAACAGAGCCTTGAGGGTCCTGGGCCCAGGGCAAAAGAAATTGTATCTTTTTATTGGCCCATTTAAAGTGTGTGTGGCCATTTTAGAGAACCAGAGAACAGCGCAGCAGAAAGAAACTTCTCAGCTCCTGGCCAGGCTGTGTGGGCAGACCAGGGGCTCTCAGGACTTGTGTTGGCCCCCAGCGCCTGGTGCTTACTTGGGCCCTTGGGTCTCCCCCTGAGGGTAGGGACCCTTTGGGCTGTCCTGTATTTCTTACTGCAGATACTTATGGCCATGACATTTTCCAGTGGTGGCATGAATGCTGGAGTAGGGGCCCAGGTTGGCAGCCCAGTCTGGGTGGGCCTCTTATACTGCTGTCCCTGTGCAGCCCCATGAGTGCCCAGCTCTCCTTCCCTCTGAACCCAGGGACCAGGGTGGGCAGGTAGAGCCATGCTGGGCTTCAGTCCTCCCAACCCCCACTGCCTTTCATCTTCTATTTCAAACAAACATGAAATTACTTCTATAGATTAAAGGGGAGAGCTCCTCAGTCATTCCTTAAGGCCTCACTAATGGAGGGGGCAGGGCCCCCAAATCTGGAAGAGGGAGGAGAACTGTGGAGCCAAACAGCCCCTACCCAGCATGCACCCAGTATACCTGTGAGAGAGAGACTGACTCTCCTACAGGGCTCTGGCCTGCCCAGGGTGGCTGAATCTTGGCTGGTGGCCATCTGGGAAGGCAGGGCTTCTCTGGGAGCCAAGGTTAGCAGTCTCTAAGGGATGCTGATCTGGGGAGAAGGCTTCTGCCTGATCCCTCTCAGGAGCCCCCCAACAGAGGCTTGTCATATTCTCCCCACAGGCCCAGCTCTGGGCTACTGAGACGAAGACCAGAACTTCCCTGAGAAGGAGGCTGGGGGCAGGGGTGCTGACTTGGGGATTAATTCCCCACTGGCAGCAGCAGTGCTCCTGGCCAGGGCTCACTGCCCAGGGCTCAAAGGGGAAAAGGTGGAAGGGGCAGAAAGGAACCCTCAGTCTCCTCCTTTGATTCCTTCGGCCTTAAGGGAAGATGGCAGCTCTGTCAGGGAGAAGGGAGGTTGTGGGTCAGGGTCTGAATGAGGTGGAAGGATGAGAGCTGACATCTGCATTCAGACGTGTGGCTGGCTGCCTTGTCTGCCTCAAGCCCTTTGCTGACATGCTGCTTGGACCAAAGCTGCGCTGGTGAGCCATGAAGTCCCCTCACTCCATGCCAGGGCCTCTTACCTGGACATCCCTTTGAAGTGTCCATGGCCTTGTTTCTCCTGTCATGGCATGGGAGAGCCCAGCGTCTCATGGGTAAAGGAAGCTGAGGCATCAGGCCTGGAGGGCGCCCCTTTTCCTTCATTCCCCCTAGTCATTCTGCAGAAACTCAATACTTCTACCCATCCCCTGGCCACAGGGATTAGCGGGTGCACTTGATGTTGAGGGGTAGTTGCTAGGGACAGGAGGCCCCCCTACATGGTTGCTAGGGGTCTGGCATCAGGGCAAAGGGTCTGCCCACTGCCGCGGTCACGGAGGGAATTACACAGTCACAAAGAAATTGTTCTTCTCAGTAATCTGCTCTCGGCCACCGGGTGGGGTGAGGGTGGGGGGAGCAGGCTGGAGTCCCGCAGGCTGGGGGCTGTGATCACAGAGGCGTGCTAGCCCCGGGCTGGGGGCCAGCTAGGCCAGGAACACCAGGGACAGCTTGCTAAGCTGCTTTCTCAGCGATTTCTCTCCCCAAACACAAAGGTGTTTACTTGTTTTAACATCTCCTGGGACTCCCCTTCTCCCTTTGTGTGGTCTTTATCCCCAATGAGGTTTGAGCCCCAGATTACAGGCAGGAATTAAGGCATTGGACTCAGGCAGCTCAGAACTGCATGACCTGCAGGATCAAGAAGTATAAAGTAACCAAGTGTGTGTGTGTATGTGTATGTGTACGTGTATGTGAGGGGGGCCGACCCCTTCAGCAAGCCCCATTCATCGTCCTGAGGAGGAGTGGCTGGGTGGGTGGCAGCTGGCACGCAGGTGTGATGGAGGAGCTGCTGAGGCCTGGGATGCTGGGGGAGGGGTGGGACATGGGACTGGTTGCAGAGGCCTCATGGCAGGGGTGAGGTGGGTAGGAATTGGGCATCTCTTCCCTCAGCCCCCTTCCTTGAGTCTCATTCTAGCTGAGGAAAGAGAACATTTCCCCAAGGTCTGATGCCCTCTGAAGGTGGAACGAATGTGTATGGCCCATGTGGAGCAGCCTCACTCTGTCCTTCCCTTCCCAGTGGGCAGCTGATGACACACTTGGGCAGTGACTTTCCCCCAGGGGCTGGGGTGCTGGATGTCATGTATGAGTCCCCTTTCACACTGCTGTCCTGTGGCTATGACACCTATGTTCGCTACTGGGACCTCCGCACCAGTGTCCGGTGAGTGTGCTGGGCAGAGAGGACAGGTGGTGGGGGTCTGCACCAATCCTGGTCCTTTCTCCAGTCCTGGGTTGGCCCATGGGAAAGGGCACAGAGACTCCATGTCAGGGCTGGGAAGGAAGAGTCCTGCAAGGTCATATCAAGCTTAGACTTCCTGCACTTGGGCAGCCCTGGTCGCAGTGGCTTGGGAAACTATAGCCAACAGGCCCTAGCAAAGGCAGGCGTTTCCCAGAGCCTCCGGAGCCATCAGGGTACTGTCCCTCAATATTCTGTCCCAGCCTTTCTTGAGGCCTGTGTTACTTCTCCCCTCTTGAGTCCAGTGATAAGTAGCTGGCCATATGCAAACAGAAGTGCAGGCATAATCTGCTCTGTGGTCTGGGCCATGGTGAGACAGCCCTCTACAGAAGATGCTTTCTCCCATGAAGTTCGGTTTTTGATGAATCTGATGATTTCGGCTTCTGTCTCCATCCCGGAATGGCTCCTTAACACTCCCCTCAGCCACTCTAGGCCCAAGAAAGCTGGGGCAGAGGTGGAGGGTACCCTAAACCTCCTTCTGCGTCTCCTCTTCCTGGACAGGAAATGTGTCATGGAGTGGGAGGAGCCCCATGACAGCACCCTGTACTGCCTGCAGACAGATGGCAACCACCTGCTGGCCACAGGTTCCTCCTACTACGGTGTTGTACGGCTGTGGGACCGGCGCCAAAGGGCTTGCCTGCATGTAAGTGTCCTGCCCACCTCTTCTCCAGGATGCCAAGACTCATGATTATGGGCTGCATTTGGGAGAGGGTGAGGTAGCCAAGGATGTGCCTAGAAAGGGTTGGAAGAAGCCTACAATGGCACATGTCCCTCTTCCCCTGGGCCTGGGGATCCTGGGTTATGGCACACCTCTGTCCCACTTGGAAAGCTCTTACCACTTCCTGTGCCCTCCCTTCCAGGCCTTCCCGCTGACGTCGACCCCCCTCAGCAGCCCTGTGTACTGCCTGCGTCTCACCACCAAGCATCTCTATGCTGCGCTGTCTTACAACCTCCATGTCCTGGATTTTCAAAACCCATGACCGTCAGGGCCACCCCTGCCTCTGGGCCAGGGAAACCAGCTACTCAGGGACCTCTCTTGCCTGGAGGGTGCAGTGATAGCTCCTCCCCAGTGCCCCACTGTGCTCCTGGGCCTGTGACCCCAGTGCTCAGGCACCTTGCACTAGAGGCTTCTGACTCCTGGGGCTTTGGGGCTTACCAGAGATGCAGTCCCTCCCAGGAACCTGTTGGAGAGGCAGGACCTGCTGCTTTGGAAGAGTGCGGCTGAACCGGGGCCTTGCATCCCTGTTTGGCCAGAGCAAGGATCTGGCCTGGAGAGGCCCATCCTATACCCCTTATTAGAGCCATGATAGCCTACAGAGTGAGGTGAGGTGCTCCCACCTTCCCAGATGGTTCCTTTCTGCCCCTTCCTGGAAGGAAAGGTAAGGCTGCCAATAGCCCACTGGCACCAGCCAGACCTCACTCTTGACCAACCTCTCGGGGCCGGGGGTTCCTTCCTGGGGCACTGTGACCTGGTTTTGCTTTGAAACCAATAAAGAGCAGAGGGAACCCAGCAGTTCTGAGTTCTGAGCCAGCCCTACCTCAGGCTGGCTGTTGAGACAAGCTACAATTTTCATTTTTGTAAAAATAAAGCTTGATTGTTCACAGATCTGGTTCCTCACTGGCTGAATAGTTCCAGAAGGCCCCAGGAGAAGGGAACAGGAGACCCAAGCTCAGGGTTGTGTGTGCTGCTGAAACGACAAGACTAGCCTCATGGCTCTGTATCCCAAAGAACAAAGGTTTCTTTTTTTCAGGAACAGTTGCCATTGATGACCTATTCTTTAGCCTTTGGGGTGTGGAGGGTCACCTGTGGTTTGCAGAGGGGACTGTGGAAAGGGTCCAGGCTGCTGGGAGCTCAGTTGTTACCTGTGGTGACCCCTACCCCAACACACACCCTTGGCAACATTATGACCCTTATTCTGGCTTTTTACCCACAATGCCTTAACATCCTGTGTTCTATTTCCAAGGTTTCTGTTTTTTTTGTTGTTGTTTCGTTTGTTTGCTGTTTTGAGACGGAGTCTTGCTCTGTCGCCCAAGCTAGAGTGCAGTGGCGCGATCTTGGCTACTGCAACCTTCACCTCCCAGGTTGAAGCAATTCTCCTGCCTCAGCCTCCCAAAGTGCTGGGATTAAGGCGTGAGCCACTGCACCTGGCTGGTTTCTGCATTTTTAAAACGTTCCCTTTCCCACATATCTTCAGGAGTTTCCTCTGAGCCACTTCCACAAGCTATGGTAGCACAGGTTCCCTCCAGCCTGGTCTTCCTGTGAGTTTGTGTAAACAGGTTGCAGGGAAAGGCCAGCCCTGCCCTACTAGGGCCATGTGCTCCCACCCCATTCTCCCTTTTTGTGGAAGGCTTTATGTTGAAGGTCCCTGGGATAGAGAAGGGAATGTCATCACACCCTCCCGAGGGAGGCCAGTGGGGTCTGGGGCCAGGTAGCATACAGAGGTAAACAAGAGGGCAGTCCCTGTGCAGTAAGTAGCTCAGAATGACTTTACTCAGGAAATACGACCATGACTCACTGGCTAGGAGTGCCCCACGGCCCAGTTCTTGTAGACCCGTGATAGCTCCTAGAAGATAGGAGGCTGCCGTGGTCAAGAAGGACCAAGCCTTGAAGTCTCACGGCACCCCCTGTGCTGGAGGTATAAGGCTCAGGGGCCAACTACTGGGTCTTGCAGTCCCCATCGTTGCCGTGGGCTGTCTTTACCTTCTTTAGTTCCTTCTGTAGCTCGGACTCAGCCACCACAACCTCCTTTGGCTTCTGGTACTGTGGATGGAGCCAGGAAGAAGAAAATAATTCAGTCACTGTCCCTTCTCCTTCCGTACACACTTGGGGCCCCTACTCCTTCTGATCCCCTTATTTGCACGAGAAAATTGAGGTCTATAGGATTGAATGATTTGCTCAAGGTCACGTGCCTGAGTAGGAGCAGACCTTGGACCAGAACCCAAGTTCAATTTCCACCGTTTCCCCTTCATCCTCTACCCTCTTCTAGCTGTGAATTATATGGTCAGGCTCCTCCCTGAGCCCCCTCCCTGCTCTCCCCTATGCTGAATTAGAGATGTCTGTTCTCCCACAAGCACACCCTAGGGCTTGGGGCTAGAACTGAGGACTCTTATGGGATGGGAAGTGGGCAGGGAAAGAGGAAGACTCTCCCTGATGCAGTGTCCAAGAAGTCTGGGTGAATCTTACAGAGATGATCAGGGTGCAGTTGGCGTGGGCAAAGCTTAGCAAGGCGTCATCCAGAGGTAGCTGGTGTCTATCTAGGTCAGGAATGGAGAACTTCTTGTAGTACCTGTGGGGACACCGAGAGGCCATTGGGGCACTCGGCAAGGTGACCCCAACAGCTGGGCATCAGGCCCTCTGCTGCCTAGCTTCTACATAGTTCTCCCACACCTTCCACACATGCAGAGAGGGAGAAGACAAGCCAGTTAGAACACCAGTATTTTAGAGCTCAGTGGCCCTGGAAAGCATAGAATGCAAGCCTTATGTCCAGTCCAGTGGCAGAAGAACAGAACCCAGTTATAATTCTGTGATTAGACCAGGGGTTGTAGTGACTCACATCTCAAGAGCTGGGTCTCCCTAAGACAGGCAGAAGAAGCCTGGAACACACAAATAGCTCAAGCAGCTTGGACTCCTCTACACCCAAAGCCTCATGGAGACGCCAGAAAAATGGGGCATGTTCTAACAACGGACAGAATAAGGATATTCAGACCTGTCTCCCAAAGCTGGGGCCCTATTGCTACCATTTACATAAGAAGTCCTCTGAAGGCCTCAACTACCTGTTCCTCTTTTGGGGCCTTTCAAGGCCTTGTTAGCCTGGCTCTACTTGTAGGCCAGAGGGAAAAGTATATCTACTAGGAGAAATCTCCTTGAGAGGACAAACCATGTTACTCATCATGGAAGCTGGACCTCTGGACTACTTGGCTGGCCCCAAGTCCCCACTCTTCCATTTTTACACATCACACATGGTCCTTATCATCTCCAGGTGCTGGTTCAGAGATTAATGATGCCTTTTAATTAAAAAAAAAAAAAAAAAAAAAGAACAGATAGCAACACCCAGTTTGTAATGTGTATAACTAGACTTCGCAGGAAATTTGACCCCCCTTATCAAAAAGAGAACTCGGCTCGGAGAGATGAAATGTGCCTTGTTTCACAGCCAGTTGTCAGTTGGGATGGAAGTCAAGATTAGAGTAAGATTCCTTGTCTTTGGTCTGATGCTTACTACACCAAAGCACAATGAATGGCCTTTTCATCTCTAGCAATATACCAATTTGGCATTTTCCTTGGTGGAAATGTGGCTTAGGATCTGGCCAGGGGCTGCCAGACCTGTCACTTGGGCAAGGCATCACTTTCTGCTGCAGAGGTTGTATGGGCTGTGAAGGGAAACACCTCAGGCAGGTACAAACAGACTCAAGTGAGAGGCCTGGGGAGGATGGGGCTTTTAGTACTTCAGAGGGGCCTGGTCCTTGTGGTGACAGCTACCCTGAGTCCACTTCAAAAGCCCCTATGCCCTGGGGACTCAGAGAGTTGACATCAATGCAGCACTTCTGCCCCCGTCCTCCCTGCCCAAATCCCTCCGTTCAACAGAGACTCTGGGGCCCCTCTCCTCCCAGGTTCCCCACTCCCCACCAAGGTACTGGGACCCATGGCAGGAAAAGAATGTTTACTTAAAGGCTGACAGTTCAAAAGGAGTGGGGGCTGGGGGATCCTAATGGCACTGCAAGTTGCTTTATTTTCCAAAGCTCTGCCCCAGGGAAAGGCGATCCATCTGCCTGCAAACCGGGGATGGAATGCCTGCCTCATCCTCTTCCTAGCCAGCTCAGGCTGAGGGCTCTTCCTGGGGCCTTTGGTCTGGCCAGCAAAGGTGGCAGACACTGATAATAGGGGAGAGTCAAAGGTTAAACAGCAGAGATTAGATGAACACAAAGACTTGTTAGGAAGTGTTAACATCTTCCCTGCAAAGATACACAAAAAGCAGAACCAGGAGGGAAGCAGCCCAGCCGAACCATTCCCCTAGGCTGGGGCAGTGGGACCAGAAAACGAATCCCAGGGCTTGGCCACAACAGCAAGGACAGGATCAGAGGGAACTTAAGGTGCATAGCTTGCACCTGCTTTCCTTGAACTACTCCTACCTCCAGGCAAGAGGAATGAAGGCAGAGCACGTGGAGGCTCAGCTTGGTTTTGAGTCTGTTGTAATGGATTTAGTTTATTGGTTGAGGTTAAACAACTTCTTAGAAGCTCCTGACAGTCAGGCTCAAGGGAGTAGGGAGCATCTGCCTTTTCTCCTCCTGGGGCAGCCCACCCCCTTCTCACCCCCATTCCCCAGACATGGGTTTTTTTTTCCATGATGGGTACTGTACTTGACTTTCTCACCAGCACCTGGACAACAGAGAGACCCACTGTGCTTCTGGAAGAGTCATAACGTTCAGCCTCAGACAGCCGTAGTAGGCAGCAGACATTTATTGGGTATCAACTGTGTCCCAGGCCTTGAGCTGTGAGCTGGGGATTTAAGGATGAAGAAGAGGGTGGGCATGGTGGCTCACGCCTGTAATCCCAGCATTTTCGGAGGCTGAGGTGGAAGGATCACTTGAGGCCAGGAGTTCAAGACCAGCCTGGGCAACATAGCGAGACCCTGTCTCTACAAAAAATTAAAAGAAAAAGATGAAGAAGAAACAAGGCCTCCAGATGCAGTGGCTCACTCCTGTAATCCCAGCTCTTTGGGAGGCCAAGGTGGGCAGATCACTTGAGGCCGGGAGTTCAAGACCAGCCTGGCCAACATGGTGAAACCCTGTCTCTACTAAAATACAAAACTTAGCCAGGTGTGGTGGCAGGCGCCTGTAGTCCCAGCTACTTGGGAGGCTGAGGCAGGAGAATCACTTGAACCCAGGGGGCGGAGGTTGCAGTGAGCAGAGATTGTGCCACTGCACTCCAGCCTGGGTGACAGAGCAAGACTCCATCTCAAAAAAAGAAACAAGGCCATATCCCTGCTGATCATACCTTGTTTTGTTTCTGCTAAAAGTTGAATCCTTACAGCAGGATAGTTTCTTGGCTTCCAGCAGATGCCCCGCTCTCCCCCATTCCTACCTCCCTTCACTGTTCTATCTCAGCCATACAATGAAAGATGATATTTTAAAAAATTAATGCTTACTCTGTGCCAGGTTCTAAACACATTTAGTTGTCAAAACAACTCTCTCAGGTTGGTTACTTCTATTATCCACTTTTAAACAAAAGGAAACTGAGGCCCAGAAAAGTTAGATATCTTGCCCAACTCACAAAGCTGGTAAACAGAGAAGCCCGTATTAAAGTGAGAATCCCCCAAATCTCCTGACCCCTCCATGTCTCCACATTCTCACTGCAAAGTAATAGCCCACCATGGTCTAGATTATTTGCATTTGTCCAAGGATGGGGCAGATATTGGGGTAGGAGGTGGGGATGTTCAACCATGAAACAGGTTGTCTCCCCTGGAATCTAAACACTCTGCGGGCCCCCTGGGTACTCTCTCCAACACATCAATGGCCTTGCTTTCTGAATGTCAAAAGTCTTCAAAAGACGTATGTTGAAGTAAAGGCTTGTCGCAGAACTCCTGGCCCTGCCCTGTGACCCTGGACAGG